AGGGTCCCTAACAACAGTGTCATTCTCAGCGAGGTATTAAGGGAGAAGGAGCGAGCGATAGGCAGAGGAGGTGCCTTTGCAGCGCGTGCGCACATGTGGCAGTCTTCTTTGCGGGGATGCACTTTCATTCTTTGTACTGCCTTCAAATACGCCCTTCTCATGAAGGTGGAGGAATGGAGCGACTGAACCTGCAAAGAAAATTTAATATCATGTTTTTTTCAGATATTTTCATTTTCTGCTGCGCTATACCCTCTTACCTATCTGCACCACGATACCACTGCTGTTACTGACCCCAAGAGTACGACCCCCCATGACCAGCCCAACAGGTACGACCCCCCTGTCGAGGATTTCCTCGACCGATATTCACCCTGGTATCAAGTAAAAGTGTGAGATGTTACCGGAATAAATCAAAAGCCAAAAAGAGTTTCTAGTGACAGCACTCCGTGAACCAAGTGGAAGCGTTCCCGTCGCCAGCATTTGTGACAGATGTCCGGCGGGAATTTGAACGCGTAGCCCTTCCGTTTTTCGAATTTTACCAAAACAAATGCAATTTTTGTTCTTTTCGTTCTTATCGTGAACGATGGGTCGCAAACCAGTGTTTGACGAGTGAGATAGAATTCCTTTCTATCGCGCCGATGAGGAACCAAGTCTTCGGAAGTATTGAAGGAAATTTTTCCCCCAATACTTCCGAAGACTTGGTTCCTCATGGGCGAAAAATAGGTAATTGACCCAAATGTGGAGAGTCTTAAGGAAGTTGAATATTAGTCGACACGGGAGCTGAAATACCTTTCATTGGAACTATAGGGTAGGGCAAAATAATGGAAGCAGACGCATGAAACGGAACCAGCGATCAAGTCTATCTTGACCTGTGAAAGATGGCCATTAAATAAAATTTTTCGAAATTGGATCGATTTTGGTCAATGTAACATATGAAGAACTTGTGGCGCCACCGTCGCCATAGCGACCAGCTCTGCAGAGGCAGCGTCAAGGGCCTCACTGCAAGCTTTATAAATTGGTATGCTCCAAGCCGAAATATTTTGCACATGAAAGCAATCGAAAAGCCTCTGTTGCATTCCACTACTGCGCATTTTCCTTTTGTCCATTGATATAGTTGGTTCCTTGTGTCAGTTTTTCTTGACTATTCCCATACAGCTGAACAATGCCTAACATTCAGAACGGTCTTATTCCTCTGGAAAAAGCAACTCATCAGCTGCTTTCTTGAATTTTCTTTACATTCAAAAGAACGAGTTTCTCCGTTGTTTAGAGGATCCGAGTGGCTGTTGAGCACCGAGGCTACAAGCCACTCGAAAAGGTATTTGAAAGTAGCTGTATGTACGTTTGGTTGTTCATGTTTAGTTGGCGCCGTAAGCTGTCGCGCGCATAGCCGTTCCTTAGCGATATGAAACGCAACGGCCAAAACTCTCAACATAGCTCTGTCTGTCACTAGCATTCGCCTTTCTTAGCTAAGACCTGCCGATTTTTCCCGATCTCCTTACCGTTTAGCAAACGAGTTGCTGTGAGCTTTCAGTCAGACTCCACAAACTTTACGCATGGACGCTCAATGGCACCCAGGGTCTGTCCTATCGTTGCTACTTTTCGAAAAATTTTTACGACCCCCTCCCCCAAGGTGGATTTGATACGACCCCCTTTTCCCTACCTCCACCATCTCCATCTTCCATCAAAACCCCGCCCACTTTTTCCTCCAAAAATGCCGTCGAGCGGGGGGTATATAGTCACTCTGAAACGGTAAATATCTCCGAAAATTTCCTTCTATTTCCACCATTTCAACCCATTTTACCTATACTCCCACTACTTCCTTTTCTAGGGAGGGTATATACGCCCGCTGAAACGGCAAATTTTTATCCTGCGCGCCCTCCACTCGCCCAGCCTACTACCCACGAAATCTTAGTTTCACCTCAATCCCACACGTGATTTCGAGCGACTAAAGTGGGATACGACCCCCCCCCCTCCTACAAACTCAAACCAGGCACCACCCCCCCCCCCCGTTGGATTACTTCCGTAACAACGGGATTTTATTTTTTTTTTTTTTTATATGGGTGAGTGAAGTGTTGATCCTGGCTCACACTACATCATTATCCTCTTTCCGCCAGCATCTACAGACTTTTACCCCATCTCCGCCCTCTTTCGAGCTTACGATATCAGAATTAAGGCAGGTATTCAGTGATACAAGGACGGAGAAAAACCAAAGAAAAATGGCTTGAAACCCGAGATATGGGGCCCTTTATATCCCGTTGATTTGTGCCTTTGGCAAGTCCCATGGATGCTGCCTCTTTCAATGCTAACGCACTCTCTGCTATAGCAGGTAGAGTTAGCGAGGGGGAGATCAGCGGGGATGTGGTTCATTAGGACAGAAAGCGACTTTTTCGCGTTTCGCAGCGCGAAAGCATTTTTCGTTGCGGGAACCTCAGTCCACCTGCTGATCGTCAGTGGACCCGAGGTGTCGCCGCAGCGAATGATCAGTGGACACAGAGATTCCCGCAACGAACAATGTTTTATCGCCGCTGCCGCGAAAACGACGTATTATAAGTCGCGTTTCTGATAGTGAACAATT